ACGTTGCTGCTTTCAGTTTTCCTGATGATGGCTTGGGGAGGGCCCCCATGCCGTCGTACCAAAACATGGTCCAATGGCTACGGGTCGCCGTGGAGATGGTGACCGCGTTTGATGCCTTGAGAAAGGTAGACATTGCTGCGCGAGGTAGTCCTCAATTTCTTTTGGCCTCTGACCAACAAGGGACGAGGCGAATGAATAGAGAAACCACGCAGTTCAAGTGGTTGGTACGGGCATTCCCGGTAGGTGTGACTGGCTTCACCGCAATGGAAGCAGAGGGGTCTTCTATCCGACGTACGCCAGATATCGGGCTCCGCGTAGGAGCAGCCCGACCGTCGATGTTCAAACCAGTGTGGGCTGTTTGAATTGCAACTGGGGACATCGTCTGGGTTGGGACTGCAGGGCTTAGGACCGGCATGGCAGTGCGCAAGACTTAGGCATATGTGCGGTTCCTAACATCAGTAGACGCAGCAAGTGGTTCTAGATTGGTAGCCTTCGGTTGAGGGCGACTGCTCTGAAGCACCTGCTATACCTCGTCCCGGATTATACTGGTGATGCTGCTTACCTCTAGCCTTTCTCGCCCCATGTAGTTTCGTCATTTACTCGTGGACGACGGAGCGAAGGATTTCACGAATCCATTCAATGCTGTTGCTCCCGAAGGTGGCGGAAAATTCAGGAAACGATGCAGCCTTCACTTGCCGGTCAAATAGGGTAGACCGTCGATGAAATACCTTCTTCATCGTGAGAGCTTCGGTCAGAAACTCCGCTCCACTCTTGAGAGGACTCCGCAGTAGACCAGTAAAAAGCTGCGCTTTCATGCCTCACATTAGATAGTGCATATATTTTTTCTTCTGGTATTTGCCAGGTCCGCTCACCTGAAAAGCCATGTAATTTTCTCCAGGTACATAGTGACGGCCTCATTAGGCATCTGGGTGCGTGAGTGCAATGCTTGTTCAGCATGTTCGTGGTGGTAGGGGGCTCCGATAGGTCTCCAAAGGGTGATGCTGGAGCTGACGCCAGGATGTCACCTCTGTTCAGAAACCACGTTCGGGTGTCGTATTTTAAGCAGGCGTAGACTTTGCGGATATAGGCGGCTTCGTCCCAATAATTGATTACTGCGACATGTTCGAACTCGCTCAGCCAGTCATCCACATCCTCAAACAGCTCTCCGTGAAACGGACTAGGCATCAGAGGGTTCTGAACAGTACAATAAATCAGCGTTGATGACAAAGGAGTTTCCATGGCGCCTTGAGCTGAAGTCATAGTCGCTCTGTGGATAAGCTGTTGCGCTGTCTCTGGTGGTAGCCCTTGTTGGCGGTGGCTTGTTTTGTGAATTGGCGTGTTCAAGGGCACAGTGATTGCGTTCCGGCTCTTCGGCGGCTCTTGTGCATGGGGCGCGTCATGAGTCGTCATACCCAGCAGCTCCACCAATCTTGTCACGCTCAAGGTAACCTTGCATTGTACTGCTCATTGATCTAGACCGAGAAGCAGCTCAGTCCGAACTTCTTCGTTCTCGCTCACACGAAACCACACGAATTCATGCGGCAATATGTAAACACAAGAAATAAAAGTAGCTGTGAAAAAGACTCCAGTGCGCGGAATCGCACTTCTGAATTGTGATAGCGATGCGTTTGTTGCAAATTGTGTAGAGGACGAGGAGTGACATTATCATCATTGGTGATTAGAGCAGTGTGTTAGCAATAAAGAAGAGGTGGACGGGTGGGCTTCGCCATGGAAACGGCGGTTCGTCCTTTTCTCTACATGCTGGTGCCGTGAAACCCAGAAGGAAGAACCTTCAGAGGTGAGACGGAGCAGCTTCATTAATTTCGCCCACAGTCGCAGCTTCGAAGACTTTTGTGAAGCCGCCATTGAATGAAGCAGATGTGCGAAGCCAAACCGTTCTCGAGAACCAGATCAAGAAGCATAACACCTCGACATTGCTTGAGACTTCGTGCTGCGAAACGTTTGTGATGGAAGGCACAATGACTGAGGTTTCACTTAGTGACGTGACCGGCGAGTGATTTTTCACGTTTCCGACGCTGGACTTGATCATGGAGGCCCTGTTCGCAAGGCGGAATGAAGTGCGCGAGGCCGTCAAAGAAGCCATCGCCGACATTGAATGTCTAGTAAGCGTGGAGCCTCCATGAGTAAGTGAGTTACGATATATTCATTCAGTTTGGATTGAGCACTACAAGCTTCCTAAAAATATCGGCAAGGAAGAAGAAGACGCAGTTTATATCGATCATTTGGAAGCAGAGAAGGAGGAAGCAGATCTTTATGAGCACCAGATCATTTTAGCCAAGGTCAGAGGCGAATATAGGATCGCGGACGTATCAATGCTCGAGAATTTCACTTAGAGGTCATGAGGCAAAAAATTTGGACAGAAGTACAATCTAACGTGGACTCTTCATTTGTGGCGTCGGCTTCTAGCCTTTGCTCCTGCAGCAGCAATCTTGTTGTACGGTAGATAGAAGACTTAGACTCACGATGAATTGCTGAATGCACTGAAAGCGGAAAAGACACTGATTTAACCACTGTAACGAACATTGAAGCACGCACAGACCCACTACTTTCAAAGAAGTTGCCCACGCCGTTAGAAACTCTGTCAGCGTACATTTTGGATGAAGCAAAGGATACGACGGTTACAAGAGCTAAAGGGCATATGGTGGAGCGACAAGTTTCTACTATTGAAAAGCAGAATACCTTTGAAGATTAAACGGGCATTCAAGAGATATCAAGAATAGGTGCAAGCCAAGGCCAGCAGATTCAGATGTTGAACAGTTCTCGCAGCCACGCGTAGAAATGTCCAACAGAAGCAAATCAAGACGTATTCAAGTGAAAAGAAGCAAAAGAGAAGCTGCGAGGGCAGAGGAGCCTACCGCCTGTATTAGTCCTAAGGGCTCTACGAGTAAGCTACAAACATCAAGGGGGAGAGGAAGGAGAACCATACAAGCTACATCACTACCGAATAAGTATCTTGAGACAAGGCTTCACCATCGAATGAAGCAATCAAGTCCGGGATGGAGAAAGAAGGATGATGAAGACAAGCTTCCAAGATTAATACAGCCAGGGCAAAAGATCCAAAGGCAAGACTTCTCAAAATAAGCCACACCAAGAGCTCGCAGAAGAAACCATGTTTCTGCCGACGAAATCTGATCATCGAGAGCGCAAATTCACCGAAGGCGACGCGTTCGGAGGTACGTTTATGGAACAAGCGTCGGAAGCACCGTTGGAAAACTAGGTGCAAGAGCGAACCGGGATTGTTCCACGTGGATTGACTATTAATGAACATTGTGCGTGTATATTATATGTGTGTATTGTGTATTAGTGAATTTAGTAGTGATCATTGTGTGTTTAGTATTTACAGCAACTGTGATATTGTTCATCATGAGGCCACACTGGGCGGCGTGGAGGATGTTGCAAATTGTGTAGAGGACGAGGAGCAACATTATCATGATCGGGCAGTGTGTTAGCAATAAAGAAAGGGTGGACGGGTGGGCTTCGTCATGGGCAAGGTGGTTCGTTCTTTTCTCTTCAGCGTTAGTCACTGAGCCACTAAAGAGCACCTCCTTCAACAGAAGAATGGCAAGCTATCTACAAATACTTCTCACTGCTGTTGACGTGCCTCTCGAGGGGGAAAGGACTATCGTATTTTCAGCAATACCAGCAATAAGGTGCAAGGAGCTCGCGTAGCCCCATTGTCACGGCAATCGCACACGTGCTTTGCTCCGCTGAGAGAAGGGGGTAGATGGTCGCTCGTGCACCTTGATCTCGTGATGGGGAGGATCGTACGTCTTGGCTGGCTTAGGGTTTTCACCGGGAAAACTCTCTTGTAGCTACTGGGTGCACAAAGCTCACTGCACTCGTTGCACAGTCACCGTTTGCGAAAAGGACGCGCTTTTCAGACACAACGAAGTGACGACTGAGATTCTTATTCGCGTTAATCTGTACCTGTGAGTACGTTTTGTGCGGTATTTGTGCGTGAGAAGTGCAGGGCACGTTTCGATCTGCTTGCCATTCAGTGTGTGGCCTTTGAATTTTTTGCTATCACGTTGATTTTATATATACGCATGCATATACAATGAATGACGTAATATCCAGCTCAGAGTGTCAACATATTTGCTATCGCATTTAAGTGTTATGAGAACTGAGCTTCACTTTCACAAGTTGAACGCGATAGCTTGATAGGACCTCATTGGCATCACCTTAACGCTCGCGTCACTAGCGTCGTTTCTCGGTGGACACCTGAACCATACCCTCCTAAAATAAATCCTGCGGGACTTAGGTTCACCGTTTAAATTTTTCCTGCAATGTTTATTCCAAGGGTGGTCGAGAAATCTCAACTGCGCCTAAGTTATGCCTTCTGTAAATCATCGAAGTCCTCATTACGTGGCTGGGAGGTAACAGGCAAGCCTTCATCGCCGCTCTTTTTTGGTGCTATTACAAATGATGCGATTAAGTATGCTGAAAGGCTTGGTGGGCTATTACGCCTTCACTTCTCATGCAGTTCGTGTTGATACCTGGCGAGAAGCTATGCACCGGCCACGCAACATCACACACGTTATGGAGATTCTTTGCATTTACAGGACATTCGTATAAATATTTTTTCGGGCGCACAATGCGCTTGCTCAAATATAGGTCATTCTTTTTTTCTCTCTCTCTTTTTCTTAGTAGCAATTCCGTTAATGACGTGACTCTGTGGTAGAACACACGTTTGCATCATAGAAATAATTGATTCTCTTCTTAATAAAGCCAGAGTCTTGAAATTGTTTATTTGCATCGATCTGAATTTCGCGCTTTCGGGCAACACTGCTTTTTTGCTCAAAATAATGACACCGATAAATCAACTTTTAAACAATCTCTTTATTGCTATTGCGTTAATATTACTCTGTACACACTACTGCATAAAAGTGTCGGTTATGAGTTTTGTACCTATTAGGTTGAACACCACATCAGTATGAACGTACTAAAACTTGTAAATAAAAAAACAGTATTTACGGTACCTAAGGTTGAGACAAGCATCCGGTTCGGTGCTTCCGGATCAAAGTCTCCCCGTAGTCTGATGCTGTACCTGGGAATAAGAAATTTTAACGTGATAGTACATACACACGCATACGTTCGGAACCAGAAACCTGTTACCTTTGCCTTCCGTGAAAGAAGGTTGTGTTGTAAATTATATAATTTTCGCTTATAAGACGCTTTTCATCATACTGGCACTTGATGTTTCCAGGTTTTGTGGTCTTCACTGCCCATATAAGTTCAGACGTATCCACAAACTGAAAAAAAAAAAACGGTTCGAAGGTACCTATGCTTTACCTTTTTAAGCCGATTGGCTGCTGCAAACTTGTCTATGCATCATGTTTTATAGTCAGAGACCTGGCATATTGCAATAATTAACAAGCTGTAGCGCAAAGGCACGCAATGAATAATGCTGACGTTCTCAGGGAATTGCATTGTTCCTGCTGACCTGCAGATTTCTGCACCACAGCATGTATTCTCGTAACAGCCAATTTTTCAGGAAGCGACAATGCAATATGATTCTCACGAGCAGACATTTTCGTATGACTATCATGTGACACCACATTGGGTCGAGTCTCGTTTCATACAGCCCCATCATGACGGTCAGTTGATAAAGCCGCGACAGTGCCATCATCCGCTACCACTGTAGTGTGTGTTTTGTGCTCCTTTATTCACCTGTCAGTATTATTGAAGGGGATGCTCAACAAGCCATTTAAGGTTTTAGGTTTAATAAAGGAATATATGATAAAAAATTAAGGCAGCTTCAATCTAGGAGTGCTAAGCCTGAATGAATTGCAGAGTTAGGCAGCCTTCTTTGTTTCTTTTCAGTTTTCTTTCTTTTTCTTCTTTCTTGCGTTAGTGTTCTTGCTTCATTTTGAGGGGCAGAATACGCTTAGGTCGAGTGCTTTCTCTTCGTTGTCCACAGCCCTACTTCACATGTGAAGGCAGCGGCTGCCGCAAGCACGCCGATTGTATTAGTAGAAGAAGAGAATGATGATCGTTGGTGCACTCGAGGCCCGTGGTAAGCAATGCCCGACTAATTGGAGGAATAATTTATTTGCTAAAGCTACGTTTAGGAGAACAGTTTCATTAGCAAAATACGATTATGAAGAAAAACGGTATAGCTATCTATCCAAGAGCGGCAACAAGAAAGCTCTATTCAGATTTCTCCGTAATTGTAAAGCTATTACAGCACCCGTAAATATTGACTCAGTTATTGTTTCTCCAACTGAGTTGGAAGACACATTAACTGAAATTGCATTAGGATTACAGAAGACATTTACATCACAAATGAAAATAAAGTTTGCAAAACCTTCAATGGTAAATGATTTTATTGATGTAAGTAGGGATGAACTTGCACACGTCGTTCGTATTCTGCCAAACACAGGTCCTGAACCAGATGGCGTCACTTCAGGAGTGTTAAAAATATTATTCGACATCTCTCCTGAAGACTTCCTTAACGTTGTCAACTATTCACTTGAAAATAGTTGGATGCCTCCTGACTAGAGACTTGCAAAAATAATACCGGTTCTTAAAAAACAGGGGCTAGGAATAATAAGAAAATAATACCGCTTCTTAAAAAACAGGGACTGGGAATGTAGATAAATAACGTGAGGCCAATCGCTTTAACATCCCATGTAGTTAAGTTAGTAGAAATACATTAGAGTTATGAAATTCATAACAGATAATTCAATACTCAGTGCGTGCCAGATTGGATTTAGACCAGGTTACTCTATATGGTGGGCGCACTTTGATTTAGAGGCTCGTATAAAGCTTGCTCGCCACAGACGACAATATGCGGCTCTAGTAACCCTTGATTTAGCCAAGGAATATGATAGTGTTGAACATCCTATTCTTATCAATGCACTGAAAGAGCTAACGTTGCCGCAGTACATAACGAATCGGATATACGAATTTTTAAAAGACCGAAAGTTTTATTGCTCCCAACGAAGTGTTTCCACACTGAAGTATAGCCAAACGAGAGGTGTTCCTCAAGGCTCTGTTACATCGCCTGTGGCAATTAACATTTTGTTAAATTCAATACCACTGAGTGATAATGTACAAGTATATGTATATGCAGATGACATTGCGTTTTTCGCATCTGACTGGGATATTCATTTACTACATTCGACCTTACAGTTTTATTTGGCAACATTGGAAACCTGGTTTCAGATAATTCATATGAATCTGAACGTAACTAAAAGTGCCATAATAGTTTTTTTCTTGGACGTACCACTTACTATTACTCTTCAGTACCATCAAGAAATAATTCGCCAGGTTAACTTTATTAAATATCTGGTTGTATTGCATGATCAAAAACAGAGCTGGCGTGATCACATTTACCATATTAAAGTTAAGGCTACACGCGCTGTTGGGATGATAGGTAAGCTTGGCCGCCTCCGTTCCGGTCTTCGCATAAATACGCTGATCATGATTTATTGCATGTACGTTCGTCCTATTCTCTGGTGGACCAACATACAAAATAAACCCCTTGATTCTCTTAGAGCGGGAAGCTCTTCGAAGTTGTTTAGGCACGCCGAAATTCACAGCTAACAATGTTTTGTATGAAGAAGCTCGGATACCCACCCTTGCTTGCAGATTCCTTATTTTAACAGTCAAAACCCATTTAAAATTTTCTGCATTCACTTTAAGAAGGCGACAGTGTCTATTGTTTGCCGAGCCTGGTGTCTTTTTAATGAGCATTGGTCCCGTGTATATAAATCCCAAGTGCTATTTGTTCAAACACTTCTAGATGCTTTAAATGCTAATATATTCGAGATCTCAACATCTGACAAACAAATCGGCCAAGTGCGAATAGAATTCGACAATATCTTTCCCATGAATGCTAAACACTTGCCCTCGAAATATTTTATGGGTTTATTAGAACAACACTTGTCTCAATTAGGTACTAATATAGTAATTGCAACGAATGCATCTATGAGTGGCGAGAAGGCAGGTGTGGGTATTTTTTCTTTCTCATTGTTTTGGTCATTTTCATTACGCCTCCAGATTATACACCAATATTTGAAGCGGAATAAACGGCTGCTATACTAGCTATTCGTAAACTTCCTGCGACTCATTCGACAGCTGTGATAGTGACGGACTCATATTCCGTGTGTTCATTTTTATCATCGTCGTCGGCATCAGCAGTACTAGAAACTTTTAAATCATTAATCCCAGCAAAAATTCGTCTAGTGCGAATGATATGAGTGCCAGGCCATCGTAGTATATATATAAATGAGATGGCTGACACACTCGCGCGAACATCCTTTGATCTTCCGATTGTGCCAGTCATACCTCCTACAGCTTATGTAACAGCAGCGAGGTTTAGAAAACTTTCCCTTCTTGAAGACTCATCAAAACTTACAATACCGTATCCAGATTTCTCGCACCTGCACTTCGCATTGAATAATAAATGGTGTTCCACGCGTAAATTGGAAGTCACTATAACAAAGTTACGTTGCTGTGTTCCACCTCTTAATTTCTATCTAAACCGGTCTGGTCTGGTGCCATCCCCTCTGTGCTCAAGCTGTAACGAACCTGAACATTTCTACCATTTTCTTATCACGTGTTACCGTTTCAAAAACTAAGAAAAAATTGCTTCGAAATTGTAATAACAAAAACTGGGATTGTGCTTACTACTCCTAATATTTTGTCTTTTGGGGCCGCTTCAGTGGGACACAGCGACAAGAACATCTGTGGGGCTCTCTGCGAATTCCTATATAACACAAAAAGATTACCTTGCTGAGCCAATGATCAGCTCTCGAATTTTACTAGCTGATATACCATTTATTATTTAGCTGTTACACTGCAATGATTTAACCTTCAGAAGAATTTCATACAACGACTACACCTCAGATATTCAACAAATTCTATTATTTCTCTCCTAACCCTTATTTATTTTGTTTACATTGCGCCAAGTTATTTTACAGTCAAAACAAAGTAATCTGGTTTCTCTAGCCTGGAAAACCTGAAGGTATTGACTTGCATTAACCACCGGCTTCTTGGACAATCCCCTTAGTGGGTGAGAGCCACAAAAGAAGGAAGGAAGGAAGGAAAACAGGGGCAAAAAGAATGGCAGGGAGGTTAACCAGCCTATAGGCAGCCGGTTTGCTACCCTGCGCATGGGAGAGGGATGGGGGAGATGAAAGATAGAGAGTAGAGAGGGAAGAGAGAAACACAGCACATTCGGCAGCACACGCGCGCACACTCAGTCATAGTCCAGTCTTGTCTTTCGCGGTGTGTGACGTTGCTGTTACAGTCAGGTTGTTCAAGTCCGTGTCGCGTAGGGAATTTCAACAGAGCTTTCGTCGCCTTCTGTTGCTATGTTTTCTCTCGGGCAATGTCTTCTCTCGAGCCACGAAATAAAGGATCAAACAAGCAGCCTCTGGCAGCGGGCAGTTGCGGCTGCGTTTCGACACAGCACAGTAAAGGCGGTTGCTAGTCTTTCTTAGTCTCCTTCTCGAGCAGTTCCGGGCCAGCCGAAGCCCGAATAGTCACATTTGGCACCAACCACAAGCTGTGGCAGCCCAGTGACGCAGACAACAAGTGTACTCAGAGTCTAAGCTGCGGGAAAGTGCCTTTGGAATCGGAGGCGACGACAGTGCGGAAAGCGGTGGCCAAACGCCGGACGCGTTCGCTACCCGAGATTTGTTGTGCCGATGTTCGGTGAAAGCGTGATTGCTTTGAATGGAGTTTCAAAAACAGCTGCTACATATGCGGTCTCCATTCGTTTGACAACAATTTGACGAAAATTTCCAACCTTTAAAACGAGCAGTTTCGAATGGACGTCACTGCCATGCTGAACGACAGTTTGCCGGCAGTGATGATCACAACGGGTATTTGGTTTGCTGTACGTGTAAAACGAAGTCCACACCTCAGTGTGACCACAACCAATGAATCACATTGTATATGCTGTACAGACATCTTGTCACTCATTTGCATGTCCGAGTGGGTAATGTACGGGGTATTCGTAGATTAACGTGGATGATCTCTCGGTGATAAACCCACTCATCATCATTAACTTAGTAGATATTTGGTGACCTTTTTTATTATCTCTATAGCGAACCGTGCTGCTAGACGCGGTCCAATGCCGCCTTCGACAAGTATGCCAATCACAGAATACCTACCACAATCGAGGTAGCTGGAACCTACCACTCGTGAGACGCGGTCGGCGGTTCAACCTATAGAAGGCACACCAGTGGATCTGGGCTCCTGCAGTGTTCTTGAGATGAATGAAGGAAACATGCCCAAT